GTTATTAACTACAAATGGGATAGGGAGGAAAAGAATAGGAAAAGATTGCCCCACTTCTTTTGTTCACTATCATTATCCCCTCCCTTCCCCGGGAGAAAAAGAAAAGAAGATAGAACTTGAATGGTGTTACAAAACTGAAAAGTGGAGGAACTAGTGCTTCAATTGCAAGGGAGATTTCTAATGTTCTGTTTTCATTTAAGGGTTTTGTTATGTTGGGTAGCTGCTTTCCATCTGTGTTGTGTTCACTGTTGTTGTTTTTGTTTTTCATGGTTTGATGGTAAGTTGTAACCGAGTTTGTTGTGTTCACTGTTGTTGTTTTTGCTTTTTATGGTTTGATTGTAAGTTGTAACCGAGTTTTCTTAGGCTTCCTTTTGTTGAATCAAAATGTTGATTCTTTGTTTCTCTTTGTAATTGACTAGTTAAAATGCAATAAAGATTATCCTTTGTACAAACTAAAAAAATCAATGGCATTATCATCACAAGGGAATAAAATGTGACACACAAAAGCTTTACAGACCCCACATTTTCAATTTTGTTCTTCAGCATTGTGTTCTATGAGGGCTTGACACATCATCAATGGCATGTTTAATTCTTAATTTTTTTTCTCAGGCAACTTAGTTGAAACCGATGCTTGATGTACTATGAGAGTGATTGATCGAGAAGTCTCGTGTTCACATTTTAATAACTCCTAATGTGAATTAAGTACATTGTCGAATTTGAATTGCGACAGCACTCTATTTAACGGGTTTATAAAGTGATGGCAAACGGGTGGGGCAGGGTGGGTAGAAAATATACACGCATATTTTTACCTTTTTATGATAAAATGAATGAAAAACATTTCATGAATGGAAATAGTAATAATATAATAGATAATGGAGTCTAAGTAGTTGAAAGCTCAAGTCTAACTAGTTGAATAAAAGCCAAAATAAGCAGATCGAAAGTAGATACTCATACCTCGCTTCACATTGCTACAAATCGGGTAATACCGATCCATCACGAATCATGTCGGATAATACCCTACGGGAGGATTAAAATTGTCATAGGTAGGTTTATTTATGCATTTGTTGTTGTATGACTATACACAAATTTATTTGCTAAATTAAAGCCCATGCATTGTCTTCTGACATCAGGAAAATGCTATTTAACATTAACTGCTTTTTTAGCAGCTGCAAGGAAGCTCCCTCCAAAGCTGCATTAAAAACTGGCTTTCTCGATGCCCTAACACACTCCAGCTTAGCGTTAGCGTAGCCTAGTTAAAGGTGTAGGCTCATTAATCAATCCTTTAGCGTTAGCTATTAGATTAGACGTAGCCTAATAGCTAGACTTTGCTCATCATATTCCACCCCTCCAAACCAGGCATGGCTTTCTCGGTGCCTTGCAAGTAGATGCTCTTTTCATAATTCTTATTACAAACACCTTAAGTTTGGTAGCTAAGATAATTATTGATAAGATTAATCAGCGGACGTCAGGGATAATCGTGCCGGTGCTGTGTTGGAGGAACTTCTGCAGTATTTTCACAGCCATGCTGGGTTTAGTGTTCAATTTGTAGGTCGACGTAGTAATAGGGTAGCCCATTTGGTGGCTCGTAAAGCCCTATCTTTGTACCCGACTATAAGTCGTTTCTTTGATTTTCAGGCCTGGCTGAACTCCATGATGTAACTATCTTTTGCTTGAATCAATATAAGATTATCTTTTGTCAAAAAAAAACACCTTAAGTTTGGTATAGGATAATGACTATTTATTAGTCAAATCTTATTTACTTTTTTTATTAGTTAAACCTATCGAAATACTAAAAATTAGTCAAATTTTTGTAACACGTCCAAGTAGTAGCCACTAATTTGTTACCATTAACTATTTTTTAATGGTGCTCCACCTCACCAGCAACCTCATCAATGAATAAAATAAAATTGGGTCCACACTAATTATTAGCCAAATCTTTCTCGCATTCTTTTTTATCAGCCAAACCTATTGAATTACTAATAATTGACCAAAAATCTTTTGTAATGCATCAAAATATTAGGCATTTATACGTTATCGTTAATAATTATGTCACTTTTTCTTAGTTAAAATACTAAAATTTTGGAATGTTGACCTCCATGTATCTCTTTCAAGTTAGTATCATGTTGCCAAGTCAATATTACTAACAAAATTGCTAATTGGAAGTTAATATTTGGCTAATTATTAGTAATTCAATAGGTTTGACTAATAAAAAAATGCGGAAAAAATTATCAGTGGTTGACTGGCTGATGTGGCATTTTTTGATTGCCACGTCAAAATATTCCTTCCAACTCAACACCACATCTGACCGCTCACCATCATCAAACAGAAAAGTTAACGGAAATTTAACGTTTGCTTAATAAATAGTATTTCAATAGGTTTGGATAAAATAAAAGAATTCGAAAATGGTTTGGTTTGGTTTGGTTAATAAATAAATATTACCTTTTTGTAAATTGATGTTATTTGTTTTAATCGCATATAATTTCGAGTTTTTAATATATATATATATATATATGGTGACTACTTCGATGCACTCACAAAAATGAGTGCGTTCAATGCACCCAACTCAAAAACTAGTCTTAAGGTGTCGGATTTTGAATTTTAATTTGTAGAATTAGTGTAACATGATGATATAACATATGATAACAACTAATTAGCGGATTACCCTAAGCTCTAGACCTTCAATTTTGAGTTCTATCCCTAAATCCCAAATTATAAACCCTAACCCTAACCCTAAATCTCTAAACTCTAAATCCATCAAATTAAAGTAAATCTTTAATGGTTTTTGTGCAAATTCATATGCGTTATTGTTCATCACATCATAAGTGATGATTGGCATCATTTTGACATAAATTGCATGTTTAAAATAACGGTTATGAAGCGAGTGCACTGAATGCACCCAAAAAAGTGAGTGCACCGAAGACGCCACCATATATATATATATATATATATATATATATATATATATATATATATATATATGGGGAGTTTTACGGTACCCAGGGTGAAATCCGGGGTATCGCATACCTTGAGTAAGAAAACGTTATCCAGATATAGGCAAAAAAATAAATGCACATATTAGGGTTTATAGTTTATGATTTAGATAATTAGGACCTAGGGTTCACTCATTAAAGGTTAGGGTATAGTATCATGCCAAAAAACCTGCTAATTTGATGTCTAGATAGCGTTTTCATACTCAAGATATGCGGTACCCCGGATTTCACCCGGGGTACCGTAGAAGGCACCATATATATAAACTTGAATCACATTTACTGTTCACTAAAAGTTTTAGCTTTGGTCACTTTTTTTTAGCTTTACATTTATTACCATCATATAATAATAATGTCAAATCAAAATGGGTTTTTATTGGGGTTGTGCTTAGGGATGGCAATGGGTCAGGTTGGATCGGTTTTTGCCAAACCCAAATCCATGGGGTTATCCATGAAAAAACCCGGGGTAAAACCCACTGGGTTTGAAAAACTCAAACCCAACCCAACCCGCTGGGTATCCGCGGGTTCATGAGTACCCACAGGTTTTTGTCGTAAAAAATTTACAATAACAAGTTCCTATCAAAATTAAAGTCAATCTCTCAATACAAATTATCCATATATAAAACACCATTCTAGAAAATTCAAGCAAATAACAGATTAACTATACAAATTGGTTTAACACCAATCTAAAAAACTCAAGAAAATTGAAATAAATCACAAATTATCCATAAATAACATGATTAATTGAAAGCTTTTTCCTTTCAATTAAGTTTCTTAACTCTGCACTCGATAACATCTACTTCATTCTACACAATTAAAAAGAAAAAATTAGACATGTTTTCACATACAAAAATAAGACTAGTTGTTTAGAATATTAAATATACCAAGAAAATTAATTATATGGGTGTGGGTTGGTACCCATTGGTCGGGTTTACCTAAACCCGATCCAACTCGGTGAATAGTGAATGGGTTTAAACCCAAACCCGGTCCAAAACCCGTCAACATGGATTTTACCCGCGTTGACCGGGTTGGGTTGGGTGGGTACCCGTGGGTTTGGGTTTTGTTGCCATCCCTAGTTGTGCTATTGAAGTAATGTGTTTCTTTTTGTTGTTGGCTTTTTTATATGTTTTATTTTATATAAATCTTGGCTTTATATATAATAATATTATCATTAAAATTCAATATGGGTAGAGATGGTAATGAGTCGGAGTCAATAATGTATATATATTTCTCAACCCAAAATAGTTTGGGTTTTACACATATTCATACTCATATAAGGGTCGGATAGAATATCAAACCATACACATACCTGATCGGATTTTGGGTATCCAAGGGTATTCATGGATAATTTTTCTTTATAACTTCAACCAACATGTTAACAACTCTCCATATACCGACATTATATAAGTGACAAATCACAATAATAAATTACTAAAATGAAGAAAATTAGTGAGAAAAATACAATTTCATGAAAATATAATATATGCATGATATATATAAAATATGTTAAGAAAAGTACTGATAATTTTTAAACAAAATACATGTGCATGTGTATAATCAGACACTAAACAATTGCTAATGACAGTGGTTCACACAATCCTCTAATTTTGTTTTGCCTAACCCCATGAAGCTGGTTTTACAATGCGAAGCTTTTAGAAAGCGTATATGTCACATACATTTTGATGCTCAACCCGTGATTTTCGAAATTCTATATATTTTTAAGTGAGCGGATAGAGTATAAAACTCTAGTATGCAAAACCCGGTCGTATCATCATATCACGATTCATGATACGATGATACAATACGCCTAACTGACCTGTAAAATTCCCTTTCATCCTAAGCAAGCTAATTAGCCATTTTGGATGAAATATGAATGAAAAGATATGATATAGTTGTTTTGTTATATCTTGATACTTATTTGACATTTTTGTTACATTTTAAACGTTTGGGATCATTTTATTACTGGCCCAAATTTATATAAACACTTTGATAATAACAAAAAAGAGTTCAACACTTCGTCTCAATCGCCGTCAAACCCGGGCGGCATGCCTACTACTATATTATAATTCGATACATACTTCTTTGATTCGCCAATCAGACATGAACACAGTAAATTTTGGTCGATTTTTAGGCTGCACCGATATACGCTGTGAGAATTGAGATTGACGAGGAACCCTAATTAGAAATTAAAACTCAAATGTAGGGTGGTTAGGTTGTTAAAACATGGAATGTCAACAAAGCAAGCTACACAAAAATATTATATACTTCTCAGTGGCAATAAAATTTCATTACAACGCCATAGGCAGAAATAAGAGCAAAGCAAACCCCAGGAAAAAAAAAACCCCCCAGAAAACCACAGATCCAAGCTCTCTCTTCTTCACAGCAAAAATTAGAAATCTCAACACTCCATTTCAATGTCACTTCATCGCCACCATCTTTTCCTGCTTGCTGCATCCAACTGAACAAAGCAAAAAAATCCTAGTTAGCACCACCTAACAAATGTAATCAAGAAAAACTAATCAGCCTTAATCACTTTCCCATTGCAGCAGTAGATGAGATTTAAGATCACTCACGGCTAAGAGCAGAAACCTCTGAACTCTTCAGAACGCGAAGCCTCTTCACTGTGGACACAAACATGCTGCAGAGGATAATACCAAAGCATAATCCAACAGATTAGTACTAATCAAGATAAACGCTTTCTTTTTAAATATGGGTGAAATTGCTTTTCCCTATTGGATTGAAGTGTGTGAAGATTGTGCATATCCAATAAACAAAGCCACAGCAAGTGACATCATAGGGAATATAATGGTTAAAGTGATTAGGAATCTTGTGAAAGTTTATTCGAGCCGTACTAAACGACATTAAAGCATTTGTTATACCAGAGCTTAATCAGCAAGTTGGATGGTGGATATAAATATGAGATTAGAATATAAAGTAGCAGAAAGGAAAATGCTTTTTTTCCTTCCTATTTCTTTGTGGGTATCAGATCCATGGTGATAAAGATGCTTACTGCCATGGGACATCTCCAACAAGCATCCTGTCTCCTTCATTATCTTCATAAACAAGAGTATATTCCCCACTTCCATCCAATAACCCTGTAATTGCTTTCTCTTCCTCTTCCTGCTGCTGCTTGTTCATGTTTCCACCAGCACTGGAATCTCTTTGAGCTAATACAAACGAACAGAGCCAAACGACAGATTTAATGAGATTTAACCGCTTTAATTATTAAGCTTATTAATCAAGCAAAATCCAAAAAGATCTAATCTTGATGTGGAGTAACCAATGGAAAGAATGGCATGTAACAGAGACAGGACTAACAAGGCAACAACAACTGGATGGTAATAACTAACGAAACATGTTGCGACAAATTTGTTTGTATTCAGAATATTAAAGAAATCAAGCAACTTGGCAGATAATAGAACTATCGAAATCAACACCATGTGGATCTTGCAGCAATAATAAACAAATGAGAAAGCAAATCCCATGCTTGGTCTATGCTCAATTATGTGAATCAAGGATCATAGGACCATGACCTCCCAACAATAATTCACATCTAGAACTAGAAGACAACAAAAAAGTTATGTAATTTCAATTTCGGAAAAAGGGGAATTGAATAATAATGACCTGCAAGAAGTCCTCTGAAGAGCTCATCAACAGCAGTGGAGAGCCTTGGGTAGCTGTCATAGGCTGTAAGATCAACTTTCCTACCAATTGGGACACCATCCATATTGATCTTAACAAACATGCCTTTCTTGCAAGCTTCAACTGGTTTGTCACTTGTTGCAGCCTTCTTGTTTGGGTTTCCATTCTGGGAGTCAGTTGTTTGCTGTTGCTTTGAAGAGCTGCTGCTGCTTGCTAAATTCTTCCTAAATGAACGAATTGGTGGCCAACCCACCACTGGCCCAGGAGCAGTTCTGCATTCATAATATGACCAAGAAACCCTTTTTTTAGACAAGGAATTGATCTCTCAACTAACCCCACGTTTGCTCCAAAACAGAAAAGAAGCAAGTCTTTATTTTTTGTAGTTAAAAGTTGTCGATGAACTGAGGACAAAGCATGTGTGTCAAGTTATAGCATAGAAATACTTCCAGCTGCTACAGTCATGTTTAGTTAAGCTCTTCCCTATTGAGAATGGGCAGTATATTTATTGAAATGGAGAAAAAGCCATGTGAAGGTAACTGTAAATAATAGAAGGTAAATATTGATTGAGGTAGCAACAAAACGTTTCATTATTAGAAAGTCGAGACCTGGAAAGGTGGGGGTACCAAAAGGAAAAACAGAAGCGAAGACTAAACACAAAAAAGGAAGCACAAAGAGAGAATAAGCTTTTTGTGCAAGCTCAATTCCTTCTTTAGACCATATCTTCAAACCTAAACTACTGTAAATCAACCGAACAATAATGGCAAAAAGAATCACCAAGAAGAAAACAAAGAGAAAAGAACAAAAATGAAAACCATAGAAGAAAGGCAACACGAGTATTAACATTAGGAAGGGTGAAAACTGAAAAGAAAAAGTGAAACAAGGAGAAGTAATAATGATGGACCACAAACATCACACAAGCAAAGTGACTCATGTGAATGAATATCCTCTGTCAAAAAAAGTTGAGAAAATTTTTTAACACTCAGAGAGGGAGAGAGAGAGAGAGAAGTTGAGAGGGAAAAAGGAAAAGGAAAAGGAGTAAAAAGCTGAAGCACCTTTTCTGAGAGCTGTTGGCCACAGCTGTATTTGCAGGAGTAGGAGGAGCAGCTGGTGGTGAAAATGCCTTCTTTTCTGCAGGACTCTGCTGCAAGTCTATTGCACCTACTTTAGTGCAACAGGGCTGTGAGGATTCCTTTGCCACAGTAGGCAACAACAAGCAGCTGCTCTGTTGCTTGTCTGTTGCTGCTTTTGTTGTTGTTGGAAACTGAAGAAAGGAAGATGGTGGAGCCAGCTGCTGCTGCTGCTGTTGATTAAACCACACAGAAGATGATGATGAACCAGCTACTGGACCAACTTGTGGTGATATCTCATGAGAACCAGCTTTGTGGCTTGGTTGATGATGATGAAAGTGGTGGTGGTGGTTATGATGATGTCCATGGTTGAAGTATCCCAGAGAAAAGAGAGAGTCGTGATGATCTCTTTCTCTATTAATGTTTTTGGCAGTGTTGGTGTTCTTAAGGGACCATTCATCATCACCAGGCAGACCGAGCCTGAGCTCAAGCTTCCTGATCTCCACTGATGACCTCTCAACATCTCCACTTTCCCCTTTAGCAACAGCCCACTCCATTTCTTTGGGTATCAAATCCAGCAACTTAGGCGAACAGGCTGCACCACTTCCCTTTGAACACTCTTCCATCATTCCAAGTTGGGCAAAAGGAAACCAACCCCAAGAAGCAATATATAATAAAAACCAGTCGACAGAAAAAGTCTACGCCTTTGACTTTCAAGCACCAACAGGAACAGAACCCAAACTGTTTTTAAAAAAATATGCGTAGCGCTTCACTGCAAATCACCACAAGCAACGGGGAGAAAAAGAAAAATAAGCAGAATTCTCAACTAACATGACATATTACTCACGCAAGCACTTCATCAAACACCTTGTGAGCACACTACAAAAACCAACCCATACAAAAAAAAAACAGAAGAAGCGAGGAAGCAAAGCTGGGTACCTTAAGTTAATATGGTTCTTAACCAGCACTCAAGAACAAGTTGACCGGCATCATGATCCCTTCCACAAACAACGCAAAGATCCCTTCCAAGCTACCTCTTTTAGGTTCTTTGAAGGAGACCCAGATGGCGAAAACACATCCAAATCAATGACAGAGACCTCAAGATCCCAACAACCCAGAGAGCCCAGCCAAAAGACAAGTAAACCTTTCCCTTTAATAATCCTCAACAAACCCACACACACACACTCAAAAAGGCTGAAACGCAAAGGGGGTGGAGAGAAAGGAATGATGGAATTACGGGAGGAAGGAGGGGTGGGGATGATAATAATAGGAGGAGGAGGAAGAGGGGGAGAGGGGACTTTAGTGGGCTTTCGCCTTTTAGCACGCTTAGTGGGATTTTATAATTTTTGCTTTTCGGGGGACAACTGCAGAAGAAGGAAGAGAGAGAGAGGGAGAGAGGAGATTCCTTTAGCAGCCAGCTCAAGAACCCAAAATTTAAAAACAGAGAGGGAGATGAAGGGGGAGAATTTTGGGAGCAAAATGCACGCAACCCAGAACCAGAATATTCAATATAGTAAACCGGTCCAGGGAAAAGAGATGAAAAGAGGGAGCTGCAAAAGCTTTATTGAAGCTACATGGAAGGGAAGAAGGAGAGTGAGTGAGAAGGCTGTTCGGCCGAGGAAGCAAAGCGTGCTGTTAGCTGACCTCTCCCTTTTATCTTTCCTTGTTACTTTCTCCTTTTTTTTTGGCTCAACTCTTGATTGAGTCACACAAATTGAGTGGGGATGATCCAACTAATAATGATAATTAAGAAGACTTGTTTTTATTTATATAGTTTGGTAAGTAAACTAATCATTCTTAATATTGATGGAAAACCGTAAGCATCACTTTACTATTATATAATATAGTTTCAATTGGGCTTTATGCCCAAGAGAAAAACTCAATTGAGCATATATGTTAACGAAACTCAATTGTACTTGCGTGCTCAGCCGGGGTTTAGTGTGCGATTTATAGGTCGGAAGAACAATAGGGTAGCTCATTCGGTAGCTAGAAAAGCCCTCTCTTTGTATCCGACTATGTGTCGCTTGTTTGATTTCAGAGCCTGGCTTGTTTCCAGGATGTAACTATCTTCTATCAATATATGATATCTTTTGACAAAAAATAAATAAAACGAAACGTCCATTTTTTGGAATTTTGAAGAGTATACATTTGGTGGCAACGTTGAATGATGTTGGAATTCAACATCATCTTATCGGTTTATACACGGTTAAAAATGTAAATAATAGAAAACTATCGATTGGGCGTGTTATTTATTGAAAATGTGATATGTCGTGTATTTTGAAAATGTGAAACGTCCATTTCTCTTTAGTATAAAATTATATTTTCTCACTCACTTTAGGTTGGTAAGAAAACAAACCAGAGGAAGGGTTGTATAAAGTTGGATAATTCATCAAAAGTAGAAGAGAAGCCTACAAATAAGATGTCTTCATTCAATCTTGGCTAGAACTACTCGAGGAGCAAGCCCGAAATGGATCACATACTATTATGACCAAATGTTGGAAAAGAAACTACTTAGTACGCACAACCAAGAAAACTGGTACGTTTTTCATCGTCCTAGGCATGTTTTCCTTGATGTGCAGATAAAATAACCCAACACAATTGTACCCTCAATACATGAACATGCAAGACAACCCCTATGGTTTTCTTAACCCACATTTTTAACATTAACTTCAATATTAAAGACTTGCATTACATCTCATATAACAAATAATTTTAATAATATCCAAAACCAACATAAATATTCAAAATTTTCATAGCACTAAGGCTCAGACTCAATAAAAGATATATTATCACAAATATTATTTCTATTTTTTTTTTAAATCAAATTTTCATTTCATCCAAATCTCTAACCAAAGAGCATTGACTACAATTGCTCATCACAAAACAAAGCTTCGAACAGCTAACCACTTAATAATATAGCAAGCTAACTAACTAACAGCCCAGACAAAAAGGAGTAAAAAATGAGTAGAGCGTTACTCTCTTCTCTAAACAAGTAAAATTCGTTTCTATGGGAAAGGATAAATATGAAGCAAAACAAGTAGCTAATAAGTCTTCACTCATTTGGTCAGCAGTCAAATCTTGTCCCCTAAGCCCCAACTCGACGATACCGAGTTTAGTTATCCTCCCTCCCCTCGTCTCACAAAGCCACAACGCAACAAGAAAACCCCAGACAAAAAACCAACCTTAATCACCCTAGCTTAACCCACATTAAGAAAATAATTAAATATTAATTAAACACAAGCAAGATGGGTAATTAAGTAAACCGACCCACGTGGGGTTCCCCAACCAACCAAGCAAAGCAACCTACCTTGGATTAACCTAACCGCAGTCGCACAGCCCTTGGTTTGTCGGCCGGTCTGGCTCTGGGTTTGGACACTCAGAAACGAAACCATCTTTCTCAGCTGTCTGCCTGCCTGCCTGCTTGCTCTTTTCCTTTTTCTGGCTACCCGATCTCCATAGATCTTCCCAGGTTTTGACCGACACGTGTCCGTCTCGAAGGCCCCTTCCCCTTCATTTTTCCCAGCTTCCTGATTTCTAGAGTAGGCATCAGTGGTACTACAGCCTAGTTAGCTAGCTCACTGTTGCCGATTAATTGAAACCCTGCCCCCTACCCTACCTAATGCAACTTGTACAAAATACACATAGTAGGCATATAATATTGTTTCTTTAAAAGCATATAGGTTTAATTATCAGTATTTTATACATATTTTTTTTTACCATTTAAAGAGTTGTTTGGAAGTTGTGATTGTTATAGAGTTATATTCATTGAATACATGCATTGTTTTATATAGGTCTCATCAACAATCACGAAATCCGAGTACAATCTATTGCTTTAGAAGCAATACCGATAAAGATTTCACTACTCTTATCCCTTTTTTTACAATGATTCCCAACTTTTATTCCACCAAACAAATGAAAGACGAGAAACCAGATTACAATTCTAAAGAAAATGAGAAATGAGGTCAAGAATATTAATCCAATCATCAGGAAGCGATGCTCTCGCTTCTGATCTTGCAACCCAATCTGCTCTGACATTAAGTGCCCTGAGCACTTCTTTGATTCTAATGAGAAGGGTTGTCCTGAGGATTGAAATAATCGAACCAATCCATGGCCATCAAGAACGATCATGATTCAAAGCTTTAACCAGCACCTGACAGTCGGATTGGATCGTACACTCATATCTATATTTTTTAGCTAATTTCACTCCTTCAAGAAGGGCCTTAGTTTCTACTTCAATCGGGGTGGAACAAAGGAGATCCTCAACTCGCCCATCACACACTTGTCCATGGTGGTTAACAACCACAACACCATATGCCGCCGGCTGGGAGTCGCTAATGAACGACCAATCATAGTGAATCACCAAAGAATGATTACTCGGTGGTGGATTCGTATGAGACTGGGTTCCCCTGAGCTGAGAGGGGAGGGAAGGCATGGTAGGTGGGGGACCTCAGGTAAGAATTCCATTCAGTAAGCTGTTTATAAGTTAGTTGGCACACATTCGGAGGCCACGGGCAAGACCTTAGGCATATTGAGAAACGTCTTCTTACACCAATGGATGCTACTTTTCTGCATAGTCCCTCACCAAAAGAAGTTACTAAGAAGATAGTCCATTCTCTTAGTGAGAGCCTTCGGGAGATGGAACTGGTACATGATATAGGATGGTATAGCTTGAATAACTGCTTCTAGGAGGATTTATTTTCCACCATGAGAGAGCATAAGACTTTTCCACGCTTCCCCCATTTTTCCATTCTTTGAATGAGGAATTTAAATGTTTCTTTCTTTGAATTTCCCCATTCCGTCGGGACTCCAAGATACTTTAAGTGGCAATTCGAAGAAGCAAAGCCAGTACTTGCGATGATATTATCTTTGACGTCGCTGGGGACATTCACACTAAATAAAACTTAAGATTTGTTAATATTCACCTCTTCACATGTGATAGCTCCATATTTTCCGATCAGATCGATGATTTTCTATGCTTCTTGGTAATCTGCCTTCCCAGTGCAGTCAAAATCGCGCATTAAAACGTAAAAACTTTTTGGAGACATATCAGCATGTCAGAACAGAAGCGTGCAATCGATAATCCAAACCAACACGAACGAACACAAATTTAACGTGGTTCACTAACACAATGTGTGCTAGCTAATCCACGGGCAGGGGAGAACAAATTTCACTAATTTGAGGAGAGTACAGGTTACAAACCAAATTCCAAACGGACAAACCAAACAAACTAACCTGACTGACCTTGCTACAGACTAGGGTGATGAAGAGTATCTATAGAACTCTTCTCCTAATCCCAAACAAAAACCAAATACCTTTTCCCAAACATACAAGGAAAAAGGCCAAATCCAAACCCAAACAGAATAGGCCCAAAACACAAAACAAACCCAAATCAAATTCAAGTCATATTCTAACAATCTCCACCTTGACTTGAATTCTCTGTCAAATACCAAATGTACCAGACATAACCAAAGTTGCCAGATTTACCAGACGCAACCAAATCAGTTGTACCAGAATCTCCCCTGCCTCCAAATGCCCCTAAGGGCGGTCAACAACTCAAACCATTTGTCAAATCCAACTCATGTTGAGACTTGCCATTCGGAACCAGCTTGATGCACTTATCACCAACAGAACATGTAAAGACAGAACATTGTAGATTATACAAGGCGCCCCGCTTGACACCTTTCAAAATCACCTTAGAACCCTTATAGACAGACAACACTCCACCTTCACCTTTGAAACTGAAACCCTTGCTGTCGAGTAGACTCAAAGATATAAGATTCTTAGTCATCTCTGGAATATGCCTAACATTGTTCAAGGTGCGAACAGAACCATCATGTGTTCTCATCCTGACGGAGCCTCTTCCAACAATCTTACAGATAGCACCATTGGCCATAGAAACATGTCCTCCATCTATATGCTCATAAGTTGAAAAACACTCTCTGCTTGGAGACATATGATAATCAGCTGCAGTATCTAAATACCACACATCCTGATGATGTACATGTTCATTCACTGCTAAGGCTAAACCATCTTCAGAATCAGAGTTACTTTCTTCCGCCACAGCAACAGATGATTCCTTCTTCTCCTGATATTTTTTTTGGTTTAGGACAATCAAATTTCCAATGTCCTTTCTCCTTGCAGTAATGACAGATATCATCTTTCAAACCAGCAGAATTCGAATTTGTATTCGTCTTCCTATTACCAGATTGTTGTCTCCTACTACTCGGAGCAGCCAACCCAGATGCCTGATTTTCCGAACCAAAACCAGACACCTTATGTCGAACCTCTCTAGTATGTAGAGCAGATCTGACATCTTCCAAAGACAAACTATCTTTCCCAGCAATAAAAGAATCCACAAAATTCTCATATGACTGTGGCAAAGATACTAACAGAATTAAGGCAGCATCCTCATCATCTACTTTAACATCAATATTCCGCAGATCTAACAAGATAGTATTGAGTTGATCTAGATGATTCTTAAGAGACGTACCTTCCTCCATACGCAAACTGAACAAACGTTGCTTCATATGCAACTTGTTGGTTAAAGACTTTGTCATGTATAGACTTTCAAGCTTCAACCACAAGCCCACGGCAGTCTTCTCAGCAGCA